GAGCATGTATGCAGCGAACAAAGTGATTAAATAATAAGTGCGCGAAAATAAAAATTGATCTTTTTTGGAGATAATCGTTTCTATTATTACATATATTTCTCTCTCAAACGCGCATAAACTACAAATATTTTTAAAACGTTCATAAATTAATTAAATAACTATTTGTGGATAATTTTTCATTAGATGAAAACATTTCTTTAATAATGTGATTATAAGAGTTGATTAAAAAATTCGAAACTCTTGCAATTTAAAAAATATGGAAAGGTATCAAATAAAAGTCGACCAGTGCCATCTTCATAAGTGTACTTAGAATAAATTTAAAGAAAAAATATGAGCAATAAAAAAAATATATTCTAGGGCCTTCATGTAAAGTACCCCCCAAAACTCAAACTTTAATAAACTCGTTTCCAGATCATTCGCTTCAACCGGGGCTTTGATTTGGGTCAGATCAATCGAGGAATATTCATTTTTAAAGGTTTGGGCGCTAATGTTATTTACAGATGAACAGAGAGACTGAGACGTGTAGATATCGTGTAGATGTGCGTTTAGGCCCCATCCCAATCTTTCGTCCTTTTGCCGAGTAGTTGTTCTCTATCCTTGGTGTGTAGAATATTTACTTTATCTGTTCTTTAGAAATAGACAGGCAAGTGCACGTGTTCAAATAATCACTTTTTCGTTATCGACGGACCCAAGAACGTGAATTTCCGTTAAAATTTTCACAATGATTTTCTACAGAATTCCGTAACTTTCTCTTAAATAGGTTGATTTGACAATATTGATTTTAGAAGCCAGTAAAACATAGTTTTATATGTATAAATGATTTTAAGATTAACGTACAAATCAAACGTGCGGATCAAAATGTCACCATATCCATGTTGATAGAATTGACACTAACCGTAGAATACATTCAATTCATTGGAATAACAAAATTACTTTATACTTTCCCGTATACATGCGTATATAATAAACGGAGTAATATAAATAGTATAAGGAAAGTTATGTAATGCTGCGGAAAATCGATTTCGCGATGCGAGATACTTTACAGGAAGTCCATGGTCATTTTACAAATTTTCTAGAAAAGTCTCCAATTTTTTTAAAAACTTCTTTCAAGAATAGAATGTGCCATAGATCTGATTATCACAGTAAACTGAATTTTCGAAAATTTAAAAAATTAATTTTTCGCCTTTTTTCCTACAACTATGAAATTGAATACAGAATTTTTTTCTTAAAATGAAGTTTGTTGTCCATAACTGTTTTTCATTAAGGTCATGTAAATATTTCAAAACGTTAATAGTTCTTGCGAAATATTGCGAGCAATATATTCAATTTAAAAAAATTACCAAAACAAGATTTTTTCAAAATTACCTCCCAATTTTTTCTTTAAACTTTTGGTAGGTGTGGCGTTAAATGCACTCTATAAGATTACATAAAATCCATGTTGCTCTATACTTTTGTTTTTTGAAAAATTACAAAAAATGTATTTTTTGACTTGTCTTTAAATAACATCAGATAATGTTTCTCAAAAACGCAACAGTTTTCTGTGAAAAATAGATGAAAATTCCGCATTTTCAAACGCCATTTTCTTAAAAAAAAAGCTCCAATTTGGTTCCAAACTTTTCGAACGGAAAGTACTACTCGCATTCTTTAATATGACGTAATGTCTTCTTCGGGGTACGTTTTTGTTTTGTCAAAAATTACACAAATGTAAGAATGGAGTAAAACTGATTATTTTAGGCCATTCAATATAGAGACGATACAAAGCAGCTCTCAAAACTAAAAAAACTATGCGTCTCGGTATTAAATATTTTTTCTTCTAAATGTTTATTTATATTCTTTAATTTTTTGATAGTGTTCAAATAAGACTGTTGCACGATAATAGCCAAATTTTGTTAAGTTATTTATTCATGTTTTATTTGAAAGCAAATTAAATGTTTGTTATTTTTGTTTCCTTAAAGTTATATAAGATGACAAAAAATAAACATAGCCGTTTAAAAACAGCTCTTTCAAGCCATGCGTATCCTGCTCAAAGTTCAATTTTTAACACTAGTTCTGAAGGTGAGACGATGCTAAAGAGTTCTAATAAATCTACGAATGCAACAAATGATACAAAATTTTGTCTGATCGCATCAGCTACTGCTCACCTTGATGTGATTTCTGTCTTTATGCGCTGATTTAACTGATGTGATTTCTGTCTGCATTTAAGTGATTTCTGTCTTTGAATTAAAATAAAAATTAGTACGTGGCAATAATTATCTACGATATAAGTGTTGTACATTTTCTGATTATTATACGAGATTGGAAAATTGTCAAGTGTCCGTGTGGGGCAAAATTTGATAACCAATCTAGTGTTGACGACACAAATATGTTACGACACAAATATCGTACAACGTTTTATACGCTTTGTAAACATTTCTTAGATTAATGTGAAATTTTATCCTATGCCTTCATTTATTATTCACATTTATTTTTACCTTTAAGTAGCGACACTGTTTTCAACAAGGAGAACTATTGAAACACACTATATTTATAGTTTTCACACAAGTAAATATAGTTCCCATCCGGAGAGAAATAGCAGATAATGATGCTATAGAAGCATTGTTACCCAACAAATCACGAAATAAATATAGTTTGTTTAATTATTAATTATTGGTGTGAAAAAATGTTAATTTCATATCGGGAAAAAGTTTGATTGCTTCCTTCTCTAGACAGACTGAGAAGAAGAAACCAAGTAGTCTTTGGACTTAAATGTCTATGTTAAAGAGTAATATATCACTTAATGACAATATTGATTTCAATAAGTTTACTGAGATATTAGCGTTTGTAATGAAAAAAGTAAAGGATACAAGACAAATAAGTTCAAAATATTTTCAACTGCCATTAGGTTACCGCCCTAGTGTCGTAATAAAGTACATTACTCCATTAGAGTAGTAAAAAACGTCATTACGAAACTGATTATAATGGCATAATGTTTTACTATACTTAATGAAAATGGATAAAGGTAGTTTTACGCTACTCGTAGGATTGTCTTCCTTGGCCTATCGGAATTACATCGCAACATTTCCTCCTGTCAAATTTACTTGTCCCTTTTATCCCTCGCATCACAAACCATTCCCTCGAACACTGGGCGCGTGTCCCTTGGCACTATCGAACTTTCTCAGTGAGGAAGACAAGATTACACGCGAATGTACACAGCTGCAATTTTTCTCGAAATCGCACATGCCTTTGATAAAGTGTGGCATCTTGGGCTACTTTACAAGTTGCAAACCTTAGGAACCC